GCATTAATTGGATATATACAGCTTCACTTATGAGCAAATTATTAACATCGACTCAACCTATCCGCCCAACCTTAGGATTCCACTTTGTAGCTAAATTTCTCCATGATAACGACCTAGATTGGACTCAAGACCTTCTAAGACATGTAGGTATGCCTCTTAAATATTCCATGAGCTTAGCCTTGCATCAATTGGAGTTATGAAACTCTATATATGATTAAACTCCACAACTGATTTGGACTCGGATGGGATTTGGATCAATTTTCTAGACTCGAATATAAAATATCATTTAGAGGCCAAAAAACTTGGTTGTTGAACCACTATATCATTTTGGAAAGATTGAGATGTCCTCTATAAAGTGTTTGAAAACCTCTACTTCTTAAACAAACTTTAAGGCTTAGGAAAAACTATAGAAATCTGGAAGGTCTAAGTTAATCATGATGGACATCCATACGATTTTTTTTTCACAAGACCGAGTAGCTATTTCTTCTAATATCACACACGACCATGTGTCTCCTTATGCTTCCTTAGTGGCTTTTGGCTTCTCTTTGCTTTTGGCTTGGGTTTCTTGCTTCAATTCGATATTTTTCCTATAAAATCCAAAATCATTATCTTTATCTTAATTTCCTAAATATAGGACAATAAACACTAAAAAGTTCAATATAAAAGAACATAAAAATCATGCTAATTATGCACTCATCAAATACTCTCACACTTAAACTTTGTTAGTTCTCGAGTAAAACGAATAAAACGAAAACCTAACTCACTTTCGTAAGAATCATGATTGTATTTAGCACATACAAGAAGCCTTTAAACTCCTAGATTACCCTCAATAGACGAGTTATGTCTTATGAGGGTTTTTAGATGTTAAACCCATAAAATTGCTTAAATGAATATCATACTAATATGATTATCCTTCAAACATTGATGCTCAATTCAGAATTCAATAAAATCAAATATTCAAATTGATCTTGTTAAGACATTATTCTCATATCTATGTATATCTCTAAATTAATTTATGCATCTTCATAACCAAACACAATTCAAGCATGCAAAACTTATGTTGCCCTTACCCATTTTCCACCACTACAAATAAAGTAATAAATCAAGATTTTCTTTGATCAATTTTTTTTCTTTTAGCATCCTAAATCTTTTTCAAGGCCTTTAATAGTTATTCCCTAAGTAATCATTTGCCTTCTTATATGACTATCGACATTTGTGATGAATGCAATCGGTTACTTGGCACATCATAAACTTAGAGTGCTTTGTATACTCATAATTCAAATTGTTATTTGACATAAAATTAAATATTTATATTGAATACTCCTAATTACTAAGCAACTTAAATCATTATAGTGGAGCAATTGTGGCGTTAGACCAAGGTAGATAATCACGGGACTCACATAAACGGCTAAGGTTTACCTCATAGGGGAACCACCTTTAATTCATCCCTCTACTTCAAAGAACAAGTCTCATCTCTCTCATATTAATAAGCATCTTTTAGCATAAACTATATGTCCACCCAAAACTCTAACGACCATAACATCCCTTCTATATCATATGCTACCATCGTAAGTAATAAAACTTCCCCCATCACTACTTCCCTAACATTAACATTACACCTAAACCCTTTCCTCAATAATGGCGAACTTGTAATGGAATTTTTCATAGCCGAGGAGCGACAGTACTGCCAAGATCTCCAAGTAATCATTGATAACCAAATTCTCTAGAGGAAGACCACCAATCAATACCATTAGAACCTTCATATAGCAATAATGAGGTCTCACTCGAATCACCTATCATAGGCTTGATAGAGCTAAGACATGTTACGATCGAGCTACTTTCGAAGGAGGACTTCATAAAACATAGTCCTAGAAATCGCATATCATTGAAAATTCCCTTTTTTGACTTTTTAAAAGGGAAGAAAACTTTAACACCGGATGTGTGTGTGTGTGTGTGTGTTCTTGTTAGACTATGAGAAAAAACCCAAAAAATAACTATTGATCTTTCAAATTTTTTGCATAAAAATCATAAATAAAAAATTAAAATAAATTATTGAGGAAAAAAAACAAGCTAGGCCTACACTCTTGGGCTTGGATAACTAGGCTTGGACACTTAGGTCCGAAGAACCAAGCCCGCACATGCCAACCATAAATAAATAAAAAAATTAAAAGAGAAAATGGACAACAAGTCGTTGGCTCCTTGCACAAACAACAACGTGTCGTTTGATTGTAAATTTTAACAATTTGGAGTTTTCTCGGAAAAGTTATCGAAAAATTAGAGTTTCCAATTTCTAGCCTCTCCAACCTAATTTTAGTATTATTTTTATCCCAAAACACTTCAAAGTCATAAAAATAAAGTCAATAAATTGGTTTATAATCTCAAAATTCATTTTAATGCACATAAAAAACATAAAAATCCAAATCAAACTTAAAAACTTATAATATTTCTGAATCTTGATCTACTTTCTTCAATCATTTCATGGTTTGTAACAACTATGAATAAAATCCTTTCCAAAATAAACAAATTGAAGGTAAGATCAAGAGCTATATTGGTCGGAATGAACCCCATCGTGACTTTTTCCGTCCTTTCTTCTCTTCTTTTATATTTCTCTTCTCTACATTAAGGAACCAAATCGTGATACAAATGAAGCTCAAGATTCAAAAAAAGCGTACGAAAAAAGTAGACCAAAGTGTAACTTCACACAAACTTGCATATAAATATCCGAAAATAGCTTGCAAATTATAAAAATAACAAAACATCGTAAAACCCACAATGCAACTAAGTGTGAAATAGGAGTAAACACTATTTGATTTAAACTAAAAAAATCAAACCGAATGGAACCAAAATATCAATTTCGGTTTGGTTTTTAATTCAAAATTAAAAAAAAAAAAAACACACACACACACACACACACACAAGCAAACAAAATGAATAGAATTTTTTTATTTTTAGGATGAATTTGGTTTTTAAAATTTTTGGTTTGATATAAACCAAAAAAAAAAATGAATAGAATTTTTTTTATTTTTGGGATGATTTTGGTTTTTAAAATTTTTGGTTTGATATAAACCAAAAATCAAATTTTTTGTTTCAAATTTTTTTAAGTTTTAAAATAATACAAATAAATGAAAAAAAATCAATACCTTAACATTATTATAGATATATAATGAATTGATGACATTTTTTGTCTATTTATATTTTTAAAAAAGGAAAATAAAAATTCAATATAAAATTTGATTTAAATAGGAAAAAAAGAAATTGAAAACCAAATTTTGATTTTTAAACCAAAAGACATAATAGTAATTCAATTAAGATTCAGCTTGTTGTTTTTTTTTTTTTAACGAAAAACCAAACTCGAAATTGTTAAAAATCAAAATGAAAAATTAAATAATCACCCCTAAGTGTGAATGTACGAGTGCTTTATTAAGAGGTGAACAATAAAATATATAATAAATCATTGTTACTATTTATTGACTTTTAGCGTTATATATACATATACATACACGTGCACGTGCTACATACACACACACATGTATGTATGTATGTATGCTTCTTCTTCTTCTTCTTCTTTTTATAATAAAGAAAATATTTGGATTAGTTTACATGTTAGTCAAAACTAAATTTTTTTCTTAAACGATCTTAAAATCATATTTCACACATTAACCTAATGCATTTATAAAAAAAATTAATGAATTATTCTAGATCTTTGGTCTACAACTTGAGTCCAAAAGCTCAAGGAATGAAGCATATTATCTAATCACTAACCCAACCCATCGGGATTTAAAAAAAAAAAAAAATTCAACCATAAAGATATTCTCAAACTAACTTGAATGACAAATAAAACTAAATCCTTTTTATAAAAATTTTAAGGGTATAATTTCATATCTAAACCTAAAAAGTAAAAAAATAAAGCAAATCTCTTTAACTACGTGCCAGTCTATTGTGTTAGAATTTGATCCTAACTTTCGGTTTTATTTGGCTGAAAATTACTTTTTCTTATAATCGATTATATATATATGTGTGTGTGAGATATAATTTGAAGAGAAGTGGTCAAAGAAATATGCTGTCTTCTTTCCTCAACTCTCGGAATCCAAATCTTGAGAGTAGCATTTAAAGAGAATTTCTCCTATGAATCCACAAAATTGATATGGGAGATATTACCTCTTACCGTCCAATAATATACAATAAATATACACTTTCAACTCTCCGCAATTTCCTTACGAGCTACGAAATGCTTCCTTCGGCTCCCAAACGAAGCCCAACCTATTTACTCTACCTCTTGTCTAAGCATTTGGGGAATCAGCAACTCTTTCGGTCATAACGGCATCCCCCGCCAACCTCTTCATCTCTTCTCTCTTCTAACCTCTAGATGAGATAGATCGCGATAATATTGTTCGATCTACCAGGTCCAATGGCCTATAATTGTCTAATAGCTAACAAACCTTAAAACTCACTTTTCCATGTTTGCTTTTCTTAAAATATTCAAAACCCTTCTACGTGTGATGCGATGACGCGATAACCAGATTACTGCAAATGAACAAAGCAACCTACGCCAAACAGAGATGATGTCATGGCCTGGCAGAAATGCCATCAGCAGTTGCGTAAACCTAAGCAAATTCCGTAAGAGCTCTAAAATTGCGTGAATCGAGACAATCGACATGCCCTGTGATTGGGGCAGATACACGTGCTTTCCCTTCCCCTAGAATACAATAAACTTACATTCCGAATTGAAAGAAAATCTAGAGATCGATTTACAGATGTCCTCTCTGTCCTCTAGATGGATTTGCAGAATACGACTTTCTAATGGTTGCCCTCGCATTCAAAACCCAAATTTAGATAGAATTTTGATAACTCAAGATTTTATTCATTATAATTGTAATTGTTACAAAAGGAAAAACAAAAAGAATAAAATAAAGGATCTTGTCCTTTTTCAGTCTCATACATATATAAACTTAACCACCCTCACGCACTAGCTTCGCTCCCAGTAATATTTTTGCAACACTTCATGTGCTTTTGCCAGCAGCTTTGCCCAGGGAAGTAAAGTTCAACCTGCCAGCACAGGTTGAAAGTAAAAATACATTCAGGTCCCAGCAAAAAGGAGGTCAAATATCAAAACTAATAGTGTGCACTAACTGAAGATAGATGGATAACTACAGCAGCTGCCTCCTAATTACAATTTTGTTTATCACACAATTTGGATGGCTTTTTCCATGACATTGAAATGCAAACCTGATAAGTGGTTTTGTTTGTGTCAAGGGTGGAGCTGAAGAGATTCCACTTGATAACGGTGCCATAAGTTCAGCAGGCTTCAAAAAGAACATACAAGAAATGCAAGAAAAGTGTCAGCTTTCAAAACAATTTGGTCAAAACCTATGCAGTATGACAGAGAAAATAAGCAACAGAAAGTCAGAAGCGACTTCCAACAAAAGATAGAAACAAACAGAAAGTGCTATGCAGCTTATCAAGCCAACCTAGTATCTTTAGTACCAAAATTTTAAACCATAGGCTTCCCTGAAATTTAATTTAAGAAATATTTCAGCATAATAAAACTATATTTCCAATTTGCGTAACTATGGTAAATGGTGATATTTGTTAGATTGTGAACAGGTGTGGACTGTGGAGGCCTTCATGTATACTAAACAACCAAAAAACATTTCAGATTTTGGTACCATTTCCCAGAATGATAATGGTAGATCACAATAGAGAAGAAAATGCTAGAGATATATAGCACACAACTGAATCCAATCAACCACAACAAAAATAAATCATGATGTTCGACAAAAGAATCAACTCAGATCACAATAGAGAAGAAAATGCTAGAGATATATAGCACACAACTGAATGCAATCAACCACAACAAAATAAATCATGATGTTCGGCAAAAGAATCAACTCATTTGTAGACAGAATACACATTATGGAAAGAACAGAAAAGACCTCAAGCTCCTCCAAGCCAACATTAGGGTATAAATTAGTAGATGGACCAGCTCCATTGTTACATGCAACTGCTACTATAGATTCATTTGTCACTGCTGCTGTATTCAACAATGAAGATTCTGCTGGGCTACCTTTTGCAGCCCCCTCCGAATCTTTTCCCTGATTTGTACATACAAAGTCATCTTCAAGCTCATCAAGTTCTTGTGGTAAAGCTTGGTGGGCAACATAAGGACCAGACATTATCCTATCAATTGCCAGCTTCTCAGCCTCTTTAGAGCTTGAAGTATCATTGTTAGCTGGTAAAACTTTCCCAGGAGGGTTGCATCTCAGCATTCCATCAAGCTCACCATTTTGAGAAAAAATCCCTGCTAAATTTTGCGAATTATTTAAGCTCCCTGTTTCATTATTCTCAGCTTTCTCCCCTTTCAAGTCCCCTAAACTGTCTATATTTACAAGGTCACTTTGTGCAGAACAAGAACTCACATTACCAACAGAAGGGCTACCCTCATGAACTTCCCCACCAGAGGAAGGCACAGCAGCAAAGCACTTGGTATTTCTCAAGTTATTTTCTGTATCGTCATCAATTCTCTTTCTCTTCTTTCCCTCATCTGATCCATCTGGAACTCCTTTACCTTCAGATAACTTATCTGCTAAAGAATTATTAGCAATCTTTGCTTCTGAACTCCGCCTAAAGTCCCAAGTTGCCTTTGATGGACGAGAAGGACGAACCCCACCCGAAAAAACAAAGTTTGGTATGTTCCTCCTTTTTACATGAGTTACACGGATCTCCATTCCAGGCTTCCATAATGTGTACATGTTGACAGTGCGTTTGAATTCTTCAACAGTTATCCTTATATCAAACTGTTCACCATCATTTGCAGGAACTCCTTGTTTACGCTGCAAGCCCATGAAGTAAGAACAACGTAAAGGCGTAGATTCGTCTGAAAATTTGCCAGGGTGCGGGTGACATTGAAGCATATTGTAAGTGTGTCTCTCAATCTACATTAGCAAACTACCATCAAGAATTAATAATCATTCAAGATGAATTAAACCAGAAAGAAATAAGAACATAACCAAACAAAAAAATGTGGTGCTTCACCTTCAGGGTGAGTTGACGGAGACGGGATTCAACCCATCCTTTCCACTGTCTTAAATCATCTTCATTTTCTGCACTGATGTCTATCTGTAAGTAATTCTTGTATGCTTCGAAGAAGGAAAAGGGCTCAAAAAGGGTGTCCCATTCAGCCTTGCTTGCCTCCATAGCCTGCAACCACCAGAAACCATCAAATTAATGCAGATAATATGGGACTCGGAGATAAGAGTTAATGCAAGGAAACAAGATATCTCTGGAGAAGTTATATAATGATCCATGTTTACTAGTAAAAGGGAGAGAAATCACATGAAACATAGAATCATACCTCACAAATTTCATTGCCTCTCTGAAACTCTCCTGTCATTATACGCAGAGTGCTCGAAGATACATTGTAGCTGGAATTCATTGAAGGATAAGCAGGAGTAATAATAGGCATCAAATGGTATCTATCCTTTGGATTTCTTCTAGGATCCCAAATTGGAAGACCAAGGGATCCTTCTTCTATAGCACAGAGCATAACTGGGTTTGGCCAACGCCACTGAGTGTACACCCTAAAGAACCGAGACACTAACATATTTGGGAGTGCATTAGGAAATAGCTGGCATATGCGAGCAACAAGCAATGCCCAATTTATACCGCCGAGAAACCCTGAAACCTGCAGATAAGAGACAGGTCACACACTTGACAAAAGAAAAAAAAGGTGAGAAACATAGCATAAGATTTAATATATCTCATACATTTGAATATACACCACGACGCTTCGCCCAAAACTTCATGCATCGCAATGTTGTGCGGAAATGCTGCTCTTCAGAAAAACAAACAAAATAAGAGACAATAGGAGTGTCAGACAGCATCAAATTGGAAACTAAAGAGAGCATAAATTACAAAGAAATGCCACCCACGTGAATATTGGGCACCAGACGTAAAATCTGGTCAGTAACCCGGCAACCATTAAGACTTCGAACAGTCTGTTCATCTGCATTGTGTAGTATCGAATCTTGTGAAACATCTAAATCCTGTGCCAAATCATTGCATTAAAACAATTTTATCCCACTAATAAAAAAACTAGCCACATAAACAAAATTGAGTTCCGTGTGAAGAGAATTAGTACATGAAATGCCACATCATGCATTTTGCACCTTTTTTCTCAAACCACCCTTCTTCTAATGACCATTATGTTCAGCAGCTTAAATTTTTTTTATTGAAACTCGGACACTATTCGTGGGATCGAGTATTAAATTTAGAGAGGATTTGAGTGTAACACACGAATAATGACTCACAACAACAAAATAAAAATAGCCTGAACCCCGATGATGAAACTACTTCGCTCAATGTGCACATTCAAGTATAACTTTCGTGTGCCAAATAAAGCAAAATAACACATCTTTGTTTTCACAGATTACACCCACCAGGTCCACAAAGAAACAACATATTAGTTCATGTCATTTATTTCAATTAGTGTGACAGCAGAAATTCACAAAGGAAAAGATAATAAAGCATGTTCAATAGCTAAGTACTTAGGAAACAAAAAAATTGCCAAGTTAAACTGCCACTTACTTCAGGAATAACCCAAAGTGACAGTTTTGCATAAAGAAGGTCAATAGAAACCCCCTTAAATTTGAATTTCATCACTGGAACATGAGCATCAGGCACAGGGTGCAACTCTGTCACTTCAGGCATCTCTGACAGCATTCTATATAACTCGCCAAAAAAATCTTCCTGTAGGCAGAGTAGCAGCATAGTTAAATTCAATGATGGTCTACAATCAAATCAAACTAAATTTAAAATTTGTTGCACCATAAACAGGCAAGATTTGATCTCACTTCTCTTGTTGCATGTCTAGGTCCCACGCAAAGCGTATCTATATCTGCACCAGGGCCATGCACCTAAAAAAATATAGAGATGACGATATCACAAACTATTACTCAAACGATTTATAAGAAAATACAGTGGTGAGTCTTTCGATTGTTAATCTGCACATATGCCAAACATCAATGAAATGTTACAGCATTTTGTTCCTTTTTTATTGTTAATGAACATAAATACACAAAAAGAAAAAGAAAAAAAAGTAACAGTTGAACCATCTCACACTCTTTTATTTAGTTTTTTTTTTTTTTTTTTCCTTGTACCAAGACAAATCATTCAGTAGGAGTAGTTCTCTTCTTTCCATTGCTCTTTAATAGATGAATATTTATGATTTTATGCAACACAAGCAGTCTTCTTTAGTTGAGCTTCAGCATTATACTAACTAAGGAAATCATTAAGCAAAGAAAACAGAAAATGCAAAGAAGAAAATTAGAGTGGAAAGATTAATAACCTACCCCTAGGCGATAAGAACCAAATGTGAAAATCTTAGCATTCCCTTCTTGCACCAGTTGCTCATTCAACCCTTTAGCACGGCTAATTACTTTGACCCAATTCTTCACAATCTGTTCCATTTTGTGCCATCAACATGAAACATTCAGAAGCACCCTACTAAAATTGCTCAAAATATCTTAAGAAAGGAAACAAAACTATTGAAAAAACAAAACAAAACGCAAACATTGCTGTCAAAACATTAGTGTCAAGGTAAAAACTTTAAACCTGGTCAAGTCTCCCAAGTACTTCCTCTCTACTCACAGCTTCCTCCTGACTTTCATACAATCCCGCATCTTGCAAAAACTAAAGCAACACCCATATTCTCAAAACTCAGCAATAACAGAACAAAAATTTCAAAACAAACAATTAACAAATCAAATAAACAAAACTCAGCAAAGATTGAACCTTTTCGAGTTCGCGGGTCTTCATCACATCATACTCCGTTGGTCCACCCAATGAAATTGGTTCTGTAATGCCTAACCTCTGCTGCTGATGATGCCCATTATTTCGATTGATTAAACCTGGGCTCCCCATTGCCTTTTTTTTCCGATATATATTTATATAATCTCAAATTTTATTGTTTTTTTTTTTTTGGGTTCTTTATTTTTTTATTTTTATTTTTTTTTCAAGAGGGGGTTTTTAGGCACGATATTTTATTTTATTAAAGATAATCTAATGAATATTCCTAAAAAAAAAAAAAAAACAAAGAGCAAATAAACAGAAAAAAAAATAACAATGGAGCAGCAATAATCGTTGATTGTACAGTACTTCTTCTCGACTGATTAGAGCTACAATTAATTATATAGGGCGAGACTTTGACAAGCAACCCTTAAAATTCAAAACCAAAAAACCCTAGATTTCAATGGAAATATAAAATCGACTACAGTACAATTAGGGCAAAATCAAACCCCTGAATCTAAATTCAACAAAATCAACTTGACAACAGCAAAGAACGCCTCCGCGATTAGTTCTCTTGTTGATCAAATCTTCGATCAATTGAACCTCAAGCGCTTCAATTTTGCACCCTGACACGATTATCAAGGATAAATTATAATCACTAGAGAATCGTCGATTGATTCGAGAGAGAGAATGTTAGAGAGAGAAAGAGAGCTTACGCAGAGATGGATATGGGACGAATATCGTGATCGTTATTATTTGGTAGAAAAGTTTTTCTATCTGTGGTTGTTTAAGAGGAAGAGAGAGAAGTGCGGGGTTATGTGTACGGTGTACAGTGCTGGCAGCGTATAAAAGCATAAAACAGGTAAAGTATGTCTTACTCACTATATTTGACAGATGTTTCAATTTGGGTACTATATTTCTAAAATATCTTTAAGTTTTATTTTACCTCCATTTAAGATTACCTAAATAGCTACAAATAAATAAAAGGTGTTCATGGCTATGCATGATGTATTCCTTAAAAAGGAATTTATAAATGCTAGAACTAATGGAAGAAAAGTTAAACTCGATAAGATTCAAGCGGACTCAAAAGTTGACACTACATCGGTGGAATCCCAAATAGATAGATTACAAAGTGTTATAATTATCTCACAAATAGATACACCGTAACTTCATAGTTCTAAACAGATTCATCAAGAGTTAGAATGATATGATCTTCTTATCTCTATATCCGATGATGTGTCTCATATGGAGGATGACGAACCTAATAGTTATGAAGAAGTAATGTTAGACATTGACTCCAAGAACTTCTTATCAAGAGCCGGAATGATATGGTCTTCTTATCTCTATATCCGGTGATATGTCATGAAGCTTTGGAATCCGAAATGAAATCTATATACACTAACCAAGTATGGATTTTGGTTGATCCACCCGAAGGCGTCAAAACTATTAGGTGTAAGTGGGTTTTTTATTAAAAAAAAAAAAAAAAGACTAACATGCATGCATGGAAATATGCATACATATAAAGCCGGATCGGTGGCTAAAAGCTATCATCAAAAATAAATGATTGATTATGACAAGACCTTTTCACTAGTAGTTATAGTTAAATCCATTAGGATTATACTTACAATTATTGCATATCATGATTATAAGATATGGCAAATGGATGTCAAAACTGTTTTCCTTAATAGAAATTTGAATGAGGATATGTACATGACACAACCTAATAATTTTTTCACCAAAGGACATGCAAATAAGATTCGCAAGTTGCAAAGATCCATTTATAGACTTAAGTAAGTATCTAGGAGTTGGAATCAATATTTTGATGAAACGATCAAAAAGTTTGACATTTCACAAAATGAAAATGAACCTTATGCATACAAGAAGGTTAATGGGAGCTTAGTAGTCTTTGTTGTTCTATATATAGGTGACATACTACTTCTCGATTATAACATTACCATTGGTCATCCAAGAACTTTTTATGAAAAACATGAGAGAGGTAGCCTACATTATAAGAATCAAGATTATAAAGATAGGTCATGTTAAATGTTAGGACTCTCACAAAGTATGTATATTGACAAAGTACTAAAAAGGTTTAGTATGGAAGAGTCAAAGAGAGGACTTCTTTCAATATCACATGACATAAAACTCTCTAAAGTTGAGTGTCTTAAAACACAAAGTGAAGAGGAAAGGATAAATTCTATTCCTTATGCATTAGTCATGGGGTTTATCATATATGTCATACTATATGTGTGGCTTGATGTCCATATGCTTTGAGCATTTGTAATAGACATTAAGTCGATCCGGATGAGAAACACTAGATTGTTATAAAGAGCATCCTTAAGTACATAAGAAGAATTAAGGATGTTGTCTTAGTCTATGGAGGAGATGAACTAGTTGTGAAAGAGTTCACGGATGCTAGTTTTCAAATTGATCATGATGACTTTAAGTCATAGTTAGGATTCATCTTCTCATTGAATGATGGTGATGCTCGTGAGGTGGAAAAATTCCAAATAAGAGATAATAACCGACTCAACGAATTGAGGCTCAATACATTATAGTCATAGAAATAGCTAAGAAAGTTGTATGGATTCATAAATTTCTATCTTGACTATAAGTTATTCCAAGCGTTGTTGATCCTACAATATCGTATCTGTGACAACAACGAGCTATAGAGTAAGCTAAGGAACCAAGGTCTCAACAATGATCCAAGCATGTACTACAACATTACCATCTGATTGGAGAGATTATCGGTCATAATGATTTAAGGATAGAAAAGATCCATGCTCGAAGAGAACATAACAAATCCAATGCCTAAGCCTTTGTCACAGCAGAAATAAGAAATCCTTGTTTGATATTCGGATATTAAAGACATGGTTGATTGGCTTTAGTATAAGTGGAAGATTATTAGTATAAGTATCCAAGATCCAACATGTTTTGATGGTTTGAAATATCGTATCATTGCATTTTCAATATTAATAAAGAAGTCTTTCTATTAATTCTTATTATTTATAATTTGATAGAATTAAATAGAAGTCTATATAATATGTATTACCTTAATGATTGATCAATAAATATGAGATAAACATCAATACATATAAATGATATCATTAAATATCCCAAGTCGTAGCATTATCAAGATTGGACATTGATAATATGCGATAAGACTTGTAAGTGTTATGCTCTTACTATAAGATAACAATAGGAGAACTCACGAGAAATTTTATAATACATAAGAAGTAACTAGTGGCATGTACAGTAGTTACTCCATAAACCTACTTTAATAAGAGAGATTGATAAAAAAAAAGAGAAATAGGAGAGAGAAAATTAAAAAAAATTGAGTGAACGTGGAAATTTTTTATCACTTTTGGTGGATCCAAATGTAATTTAATATGTCTATCTCTCTCCTCAAAGTGGATCCATGAAGTAACTACTATACATATCACTAATTACTCCTTGTATATTATAATTTTTTTAGAGAACTCACATATACTTGCATGTTGATGTAAAAGCAAGCATGTAGGTGAATAATGTTAAAGAACATATCACTAGACGTGACTCACCATATGAACCCATTTGGTATAGTCTATAGGAATCTCATACGAGATGGATACAAGTAGTCCTTCAACTTGAAGTCATCACAATTATCTCATTAAAAAATTAATGTACTTTAACATTCGTTTTGATGAGCTCGAGTAAAGAGTTGCATGTGGGTAATTCATTGAGTTTTCAAGAATCTAATAGAGATAGGTGGATAACCGATATAGAACATGTAATTCTAATATGCTAAAGGAGTTATCATATTGCACTTCAATAAATGTCCGAAGTATACCAAAAGAGCATGATTGGTTTACTTGAGAGTTAAGACATTCGGATATTGAAAAAAAATTATGTGATCATAATCGAATAGATAACAAACAAAGTTCAAGATCACACTATAATAAATTGACATGAGAATTAAATTGTATAGAAACCATACTCGTGAAACATTATTATGAATTAAGTAATCATTTTAGATAATTGGGTAGTCATAATACCTTGTTAGAAGCCAATCATGATATATATATATATATATATATATATATATATCAAGAGATAAAATAATTATCTTTTACTTCTTGATACATTGTTGATATATCTAGGAGTCTATTGAGTCACACACATAAGTTTAAATATTTACTCAAAAAATAGAAGCATAGAATTGGAAAAAGTTTTCCATTTTAGAAATCAGTTTCCTAAAATAAAAAATAGTTTTCTAATTTGAAAATCGGTTTCAAATTTGAAAGTCAATTACCTAAATTGAAAATCTATTTTCTAATTTAGGTTTAATAAACTATAAGGGTAACTTAGAAAATTATTTCCTAATATAGGCATCCCTAAAAATACCTAACCTAGTTTATTTAGATGATCTAATGTGGGCCAACGAGGTTTAAGTGGAAACTCGCAATAAGTATTTTAAGTGTAGGGGTATTTTGAGAACTTAAGGGAAAAGTTCATTAAATCGAATTAAGGATTGATAAAGATAAAATCAAACAAAACCATATAAGTTATAAGCTCTTGATCGATAAGGAGAGTTGATCGAATATATAAGAGAGAGAGAGATGCAATTCATAAAACATATACACAACGAAAAGAAAAATTATGCCTCTCTCCCTAAGAGAAAAATTGTTCCACTTCCTTAAGTGATTTTTATGAGAAAAAAATACATAACGGAAAAATTAGAGCTAGCATTGTAAGATTTTTTACGCTTTTTATGTGGAAATTTTTAATTCGTAGATCATCACTAGAGACCAAACACTTGGATAGTTCAATTCATAAATTTGATTCTACGATACAAGAGGTAACTTCGATCCATCTTATTAATATATAATTTATTGATTCAATGGTTAATCTTATAACTTTAGATGGAGGAGAACAAAATTTTTGTTTATTTCATACCTTCATAAGATGCATGATCCTTCGATTGGTGTGATAATTCTCTTGTATTTCCAAGCTCTCCCGTCTTCCTTCGAAGTTTCTTAGAAGTTTTCGTAATATTCAGCTAGTCCCGTAGTCCTCGAGATAAACTACTAAAACCTCTACTCTCTCACAAACATGTTCGAGCAATAGCTAATGCAGCATTTTAATCCAATTAGATA